GGGTCCGGGCTGGGGATTCGAACCCGCCACCTTAGGTGTACGTGGCTGGCGCCTTAGCCGGTTGAGCTATAGGCGCCGAGCCACCTAGCCTTAATTCTTAAGGAACTGGAGTGAGCAGCTCTGTGCTCAAGCTCAGGGCTTACCAAGCTTTACTGAGCCTGCAGATCACCTGGGAAGCTGGATAAAATTCAGATTTTGAATCCATAGGTCTTGACCAACTGATAGATTTCTGCGTGTCTTAACAAGAGCCCAGGTGATGCCATATTGCTGGTGTACAGGCCATATCTGAGTAGCAGGGTGCTAGAGGAGAGACCACTCCCAGGTCACAATCTCTGGTTTGGGGGTCTGTGATCAGTATCATAAAGTCCACAGAACAAGGGCTTTGGGGCCAGACCTAGGTGGATTTGAACCCCAGCTCTGTTTCTCCCTGATCTTGTGCCTTTAACCCTCTTGAACCTCAGTATCTTCATCTGAAAAAATGGGCATAATTCCATCAGTCTGTCAGGGCTGTGGGAGGATTAAATGAGGAATGGGTATAGAGAACCTGGCACAGGGCTCAGCATCTGGGCTGAGTATTACTTCTAGTGCTTGGTATTGCCTACTGATTTGGGATGAGGTCCAGCCTGTCTCAATCCTGGCTGAGTTCTTCAAGTGCCAAGATTGCCAACTCCTGGCCTGGTGCTATCTTGAGTGGGTGGGCCCAATAGTGGTTATAAGTTTGGGTTGTGGTGGCAAACAGACCTGGGGTTGGTGGGCTTGGGTCTTTGCTTCACCACCCAATAGCTGTGGGATTTTGGGCAAATCACATAACCTGTCTGAGCCTCCGGTTCCTCATCTTTAACATGGGAGGAAGTACTACTTACCAGAGAGGATCACTGTGAGGACTGCCTGGGATAATTTGCATGGGGAGCTTAGCATAGAACACGTGGACAGCATTCCTTAACAATCATTAAGGAACTGATAATGTTAACTGTTATTATTAACTATTGTTATTCTGGGGAGGTAACAGAGATGAAAAGTTCTGAGCTGTTTTAGTTGCAGTATGATTCCCAGGAAGATCCCAGGCTCCTGGGAAGAGGCAGTGGGGTATAGCAGAAAAGAGAACCGTCCTGCTCTCCCCACCTCAGTAAGTCCCTATCTTCTTAGGCCCTCAGCTCCT